TTGCAGAGATGAAATGTGGGCCTGGGGAGAAAAAGGTAGGAATTGGGGGTGAGCTCTGAAATCCGGCGAGTCTGTCTCCTTCCTGTGCTTGGAGCCTGTGTGTGCTTTGCAGGCTGCTGGGGGCTCCTTCTTGCAGGAAGGGCTGCTGCCTAACCACCTGCTGCAGGCCCCGTGACTTCTGTAGCCCCACCCACCTTGCTCCTTTCATTATTTAATGCCTTACAGAGAAACCAGCTGAAGACATAGGGCCCCAGACAAAGGAAATTACACTCTCTCAAAACAGTTTTCCTGAGACCTGACACTGAAAAGGTTTCTCGACTGTTGAAGATCAAGAGTAAGTGCAAGGGGGCGGTGCCTGTGGCTCAAAGGAGTAGGGCTCCAGCCCCATATATCAGAGGTGGCCGGTTCAAACCCAGCCCCAGCCAAAAACTGCAAAAAAAAAAAAAAAAAAAAGAGTAAGTGTGAGAGCAGGCAGGGGTCAAGGGAGCAGAGCCCTGGCCAACACCGAGGGGAGAGGGTCACCCAAAGGTGAGATCTGGCCTTGTGTCTTCCTAAGCAGTCAACCCCTCAGCTTGGCTGACATGTCCCTGTCCCTAGCAAGCACCCTGCTCCTCCACAACGGCTCCCTCGCCACCTCCCCGGTTCTCCATTCCTCAGCAAACAGTGGTGCCCTCCACCTGGGCACGTGCCCTTTCCACACCCGGTGCTGCCTTCCCTCTGGCCTCAGGGAGGGAGGCCCCGTCTTCTGCCCGAGGTGCTTTCTTGTCTTGGCAAGCCCACCTTGATGATACCCGCTCTGTCCTCTGGGCTTCCTCCCCAGTGGCCCACGTCACTCCCACCCCGGACCCCTTCTTGCCACCATCCCCTCACCTTAATAGCCTTTCTTTTCTAGTGCCTCTAATCACACGTGTGTACTGCCACCAGGTGGCATGTCCCCCAAACTGGCCGCCCCCCTTGAGGTCTCTCCTAGACCTCCAGGTTCACCTTCCCTCCTGGGCTCACCCCACCTCTGAGGTCATCTGTCTCAGTCCTGCTGCCTTCTCGAGCTCTGCCAGCTTCACTGAAGCACAGGGTCTCAGCCAGTAGGTTGAGGGAGCCTGAACCTCTCTGCGTCTTTTCCTGGCAAGTCCTGCCAGGTATTCCTTCACGGCCTCCGCGTTCAGAGGTTCAGCTTGCCAGCTGAGATCCAGCCTGGCCCTTCTTAGTCCATGTCACATAGCTGATGAGTAGGTGCACGTCCCAGACCCCAGCTCATCCTGACCACAGAACTTCTGCCCCAGGCCTGGCCCTCCTGCCACCCTCTCTTGGTAAGTGGCATCACATTGCCTGCAGGACAAAGTACATGCTTGTTTGTTGGGCCACTTTACCGAGTCTCCTGCTGCCTCCCTCTGGGCAGCCTGTGGTCCAGCTACACCACCCAGCTGCAGTTTCCACACACTGAAGCCTTTGCAGTGTGTCCACATGTGAGCTGCTCATCTTTCCTCACCCCAGCTGGCCCCTGTGCCTCAGTTTCTTCATCCTTGAAGAGTTATAATTTGTACCTCATGGAATTGTTGTGAGCTGTAAAGTTAATAAATGGCAAGCACTTAGCACAGGGCCTGGCACGTAGTACAGGCTCAGTTTGTGATGATGAGCCGTGTCCTGAGTGGGCGCAGCCTTCGGGACCTGGTGTCAGCCCCAGCGGTGGCCACCGTCCACATGCCTGGCAGCATCCTGTCTGAAGCCACCTGTCTGTTTCCAGGGCAGTCTCTCTGCGGTGGGCTGGGGACCCCGTGAAGGTCCTTGACATAATGCCAGCGTCTATCTTAGTACTTGACACCAAGGGTGGGTTGGTTTGGTGAATTAACTCATAAGTTAACCAAGTATTAACAATGGTTAAGAACACCTGGGTACTGCATTACCAGTTACTTGTGTGACTTTGTGCAAGTTAATTAACTTCTCACCTTCAGTTTTCTGTTCTGAACAGTAGGGATGGTAATGCTAGAATGCACCTCCTAGCATTGCAAAAATAAATTATTCTTTATTATTTCTAATAATAAAAGCTGATAACCTTGATTAACTTACTCAGTGATCAGCTTCAGTAGGTAACTGTGGATGGTAGCTGTTGTCAGTGGTGGTCCATGCGGCTGTGGTTGGTTGAAAGGTGAAGTTACGAGGACATCACAAATGAGAGTACTAACCATGGCAGGTAAACTACAACCCTGTGTCCGCTGATACCTTTAGGACCTGCACGGGCACAGTTAGAGGCCTCAGTGATGGTAATGAACTCCATTGACAGAGTAGAGGCTGGGTTGTGCAAGATGTGAGACTTTTCCAATAATATCTCTTTAATTGAAAAAAATCTGTTTTCCCAATATTCATACTAGCTGTGAAAGAGCGTCCACAGAAATGTGTTTCCTTGACAAAGTCTCTTTTATCTAAATTCTGGATTTTTTTAAAATAAATCTGGGTTTGGGCTTGTTGTTTTACCTTGTTCAAGCTTGTGAGGGATGTCACTGCTGTATATGGGGTGACAGAAAGGAGGCTGACCCTCAAAAACGAGGGGACAGTTTTTTACAGGGAGAAAAGTAGTCCTGAGAGGAACTGCTGGGAGAGGTCAAGTTGATTTGACAGAGGAGTCAGTTCCCGTCCATCCTCGGCTCTAAGGCTGTGAAGTAAGGGCTGGACGTTCCCAGGGATCCAACTCCTCTCAGCAGGAGTGCTTTGTGGGAGAGCCCGCTGGCCTGCCACTCAGACCCGGGCACCTGACCCGGCCAGTCAGGAACTGCTGCAGCAGTCAGGCCTCCAGTTTGCAAAACACCCCGACTGAGCCTCATCCAGGCTCTGAGGAGTCCGTAGGAAGGAGGCTTGGGCAGGAGCTGGCACTGGCCCCTTCACTGGAGGCCAAACCAGTGTGAGCTGCCCCTGGCAGGCTTTTTATGTTGTGAAGCAGGCTTGAGCCTTCATGGTGTCCTTCATCTTGTTTCTGTTCTTTCTTTCTAGCTAGTGGGCCGCCAGTGAGCTCTTAGCCTGTGGCTTTCTCCATGCCTAGGACTTATCTTCTCACCTAATACAAATATGGAAGCCGTAGATTGTCTATCTCTGTAGGCAAAAGGCTGTCATCCTCTGTCCCTTCAGGGGGACTGGCGCCAGTGCTCCATTTCAGAGTAGGTGGTGAAATGAATGGTGGCTGGTTGCATGTGTCAGTGGGTTGGCCGAGGCAGACTCCCCAGCCTGCTGGCGGGCGTCCTTGCCTTTCCCGGCCACCCTCTGCTGGAGCTTTGAGTGTTCACGAAGCAGTCCTGGAAAGCCTGTTTGGTTTGCATTTAGTGGGGTGGCTGTTAGACTAGTACTCAGCAAAAACTGGCTTCAAGTATCAGTGTGGGTGTGAGGCGGGAGGCTGGATGAGGCTTCCCAAGCAGAAGGAAATTTCTTTTTCTTCCAAGATCAGAGGAAGGACAGGGAAGTGGGGTGGAAGAAGCACCATTCTCGTGGACACAGCACAGACCAGGAAGACACTCGAACCTGGGGGGAGATCCTTGCTGATCTCTTCAGCCCCAGCATGATCTTAGAAACCCAGGAGGGCCACCGAAAGCTGCTCTGAGTCTGGCGCCTAAGTCCTCCCACTTCGGCCAGAACCCATAGGAAGCCAGAGGCCTGTGGAGGGTGTGGCCAGGCCAGCGGCCAGCCCAGCGGCTCCTGGCCCTTCCTTTCCCCTCCTGTCCCTGCTCTTTACCCCAGCCTGGGTGAAGTTGGCACAACACTGGGTGTGACTGCTAACAGGGAGCCCAGGAGCATTCTGAGGAGGGGACAGGGCTAGGGCTTAGGCTCCCTTGAGCATAGACTCTGGACAAATCCCTGGGAGGCAGAGAAGGGCGATTGCGGGGAGGCGGGGGAGCAGTCTGAGAAATGACGAGGGTTGTACTTTGCAGGAGAGTAAGGGGGAGAGTGAGGATTTTAGCAGTATCTAGTACTCCAGTATTAGAGTACACAGATTCTAGTACTAGAGTACACAGTGCGGTTTCACCTGTGCCCAAATGCTGCTGTGTCATTTTTCTTTTTTTTTGTAAAGCCACCTGCTGCACTCTTGAGGCTGACCAAATCTTTGGCCTTGTAAATACTTGCTTGTTCTCAGAGCTCACCAGAAACAGCCTGGGAGAGCTGGAGTGTACGGCAGCCCAGGGCTGGAGTCTGCAGAAGAGGCTGCGAGGCCTGTGACACTGTAGCCTGGAGTTTGACATGCACCCTAAGTTTTTAAAATCTTTTCCTGGTGAGGATGCTAGTCAGTTTGCCTTTGATGTCTGTGGTTGGTGAGGTGGTGCACACATTCAACTTTTTTTCCCAGAACAATTCTGGGTAGTCTTTGAACTCTAAATTTTATCCAAAGCCAACACTTCCTCCCTGTGAGTGTGCTGCTGGCTGTAGGAAGCCGACTGTGGACAGATTAGGATAATAGTTTGAGTGAATTAGCAAGTCTGTAGACAAGGGCCCATCAGCAGAATGACAAATTTAGGATCTTTAAAGACATCTGGTCAGCGATGCCGGAGCTCGTGATTGAGTGATTAATAATGGAAAACCCTTAGTTGAGTGTTTCCATGTCCCTCACCCACTTCCCCAGCCAGGGCTGGCGTCTGCTCGGCCTGCCAGAGACGTTTCCAGATGAACAGCGAGGCATTTAGGCCCCTCTTTGACTTCTGTTTGCGAGTTTTAAGGTTTCAGTTTTTCTTCTTACTCAATTTATCTGTGTGTTGTCTAAGTGGCAGTGGGGAGGGGGCCGCCCAGTTCCCACGCACACCGGAACAGTGCCAGTGACCTTCAGAGGCTTGCCCAGGCCTGCTGCTAGCCAGAGCCTGCACCCCAGGCTGACCCTGGATAGGCATGCCACTCATGCTTCACTTTGGGGGGCTGCCCTCAGGGACACACAGTAGCGGAGCAGGCTGAAGTCTGCTGTCGTCCCTGCTGCTCTCTCCAGCCCCCAGTCCTCAGGTCCGTCTCTAATGCTGTGGTGGGTTTTTCTCCAGGCTGAGGCAGCTGGATGCGCACAGCCAGGCCACAGCCGAGCAGCTGGTGCAGCTCCTCAACAAACAGAACCAGCTTCTCCTGGAAAGACAGAGCCTGTCAGAAGAGGTGGATCATCTGCGTAGCCAGGTACCATGCCAAACCCGGTGTGAGGGCAGGCGCGGCCTTCAGAGGGCACTGGGCCCTCTGCACATGGGGCTTTCCACAGGCTGAAATGCAAGCCACAGAGTGCTGGGCCCCCTGCAGCTCAGGAGCGAGGGCGGCAGTGGTCAGGGCAGGCCAGTTAGAAGAGAGCAGCTTTCAGCTTCCTTGGAAGGATTCATATAGTTTGAATTGGTTGAGGAAAGAGGTGTTTCCAATTAGGGAAGTCGTCGTGAATGGAATGCAGGAGTCTGGTCTTAAATTAGCTGACAGTGCTTGACATTGTGGTCTCTAGTCTGCAGTCAGGGAAACTGAGGCTTAAACAAATGTATTCAGCTAGCAAGGAGGGACCCCACAGATGGAGCCTAAGTCTGACTCTGCAGCCCAGGCTCCCTCAGGTTAGATCTGGGGCCAGCAGCAGGGATGATGGAGGAAGAAAGGGTACAGGTGAGTTTGAAGTGCGGGAGGAACTTTTTTTTTTATTAATTGCTTCTCTTCCTGTCAAAGGCTGTGCTTTTTGCCCCATCAAGCAATTTGTTAGGATAATGAGGTGGTCCGTGGCTGGCCGTGGCCTCTGCCTTTAATTAGGTTTGCACCCAGGTGCTCGGTGAGTGCCTGGGGGACTTCACGCCATAAGTGCTTGAAATGATTAATAGGAAAAATGCATCTGGAAATGAAAACGAAGTGGAATTGTCTGACATTCCCCTTTCAGAAAGATCCTGTGCTGAAGGGTCATCAAGGAGCCTGTAAATACTTTTTCCACTCAGCCCACCAAATCCCTCTGCAAAGCATTCTTTTATTATTTAAAACAAATCATAACTGTGGACTGTCTCTGTGCTAAGGCTGGAGATGGAAATCTGCCTCTACATCCTCCTGTGTTTCTGAGACAGCACATGGGGAAGGCAGGGAGCATTGGTTGAAGTCTGAGCCACATGCCACATGGCCACCATTATCTGGGATGCCAGGGCCTCACCCCACATCCCAAGGCAGTGTGTCTGGGAGCAGGCCCCAGGAACTGCATTTCAATAAGCCGTGAGGTGGTTTTGGAGGACACAAAAGTTTAAGAACCTCTTGAGTGTCTGGGGCCAGAAAAGGAAAGATTCCCTACTGTGTCACTGTAGTGAAGCCTTGGACAAGTCACTTCATTCTCTTCTGAGCCTTGGTTTTCCCATCTGCACAGTGGGCATATGGCCACCTAAGTCAAAGGGATGCTGGAAACACTAATGAGTGCAGCTGCAGGGGCTCCACGGCTCTCAGGCCCGTCACAGCTGGAAGAAATGTCAGGGCTTGCTCTTCCGTTCTCTCTTCATCTTGAGTGGTCCTGAAGCATCGGGAAGGCAGAGGCCTTGTTGAGCCGGCTGTGACAGGACCAGCTTCACTCCCCTCTGCTCTGCTTCTCAGAGTCCTTCATTCTCCACCTGCCCTAGGCCTGAGCCCAGCTGTGCAGAGAGGCCCTAAGAGATACCAGCTTTAGGCTGCCAGGTCTCATGCAGGTGACTAGGCTCCTGCCACATATGACTTCATGGCATGAATGAATCTTTTTGGTCTAAGCCCAAGAGCTCTTTCAGATGTCCGGTTGTGGACAGTCTTCTGTAGAAGCACAGTGCACACGGCACTCTCCTCTCAGTTCTGAACTGGATCTTTATAATGTGGGCTTTGCCTTTTAACTCCCCATCTGCCTCCTCGACTGCACACTCAGATCCTAACATGGACCATCGATGCTTAGAAGCCTCTTCCAGGCCTTTAAAACTCTGGTAATTGCCAAATGAATTGCAAAATTTTCACAAAATGCATTAAAAAGCCCCAAACCTCAAAAAATCCTCAGAAAACCTAGCAGGGCTTTCTTCCCTTGCCTGAAGCAATAGAAATGATGTGCCCAACCTGTGCTATCTGGTGCTGGCCCATCTGGCTTATCTCGAAAGAGGCCTTTCAGATTGGGATATTACACTTGGAGTTATTTTGATATGAACATGACAAAAGAATTTGGTAGAGGAAATGGCTTTTAGGAGCAAGTGCTAGTGGTCACAAGGGAGGCAGGGGGTTAGTTCTGCAAGCTCCCTGCTGAGTATCTAAACCCAGAGCCAGCTCACTGTTCCTGAGTTGTTGTGTTAGTCTCTAGGTAGGGGCTCCCAGTGGACTTGGACTTCTGCGGGCATTTTTCCCGTGGAATAAACTTGACCACTGAGTGAGGCAGTTTCATCTCACCCTTGAAGGTAAAGCTGCTTTTGACCCTGACCAGTTATTTCGAAGGATGCTACCTCCTAAGCATTGCAGAGTGATTAACCACCCATTCTGTTTTCCTGGATAGCCCTCTGGGCCCAGCTCATGGGCATCTGACAGTGAGAGCTGCCTTCATCTCCAGTTTAAGGACGGTTTAGCTAAGGCTTCCATTTTTCTCAGCCTAGATGAATTAGGCATAACTTAATTGGGCATGTCAAACTCTAAAAATCTCAGTCCACTCAATACCCAAAAGAGAATGGATATTTTCTGGTCCTGGCAGCTGCTCTGAATCTGAGTCACATCCATCCCTTCAATTTACTCCCTTGTCCTGAACCCTGCTGCTCTGAAGCAGGTGACAGATGACGGGGCGCACGGTTGGCCTGTCGTCTCTGACAGGAAACGTCTAGTCCGTTCAGAAAGCTTCATTTTTCTAAACTGTTTCTGCTTAAATTCTGAAATACATCCATGTCTGGCAGAGGGAGCTGATCATAACAGAACTGTGCCCCAGAGTCAGTGCCTCCACCCCGAGGATCCCGTCCTCCCTTCCGTGGCACAGGGGGCCCTGAGCCCAGGCTTCAGGTGCCGACCGCGGAGCCCCAGGGTTTCTTCCTGGCTGTGTTCAGTTTAGGACTCACTAAAAACAATGGCTTTGTCCGTCTCCTGCCTTACTCCGGGGAAAAATACTTCCAGAAAATGGCTTTGTAAATGTCCTGACATGGCCATGCTGGTCCTTGTGGAAGCAGAGACAGTGACGCACCAGCCCAGCTGTGGCCAAACACAACCCCCTCTGTTCTTTCCTCGGGGACTGTGAGTCTTCATACAGGCGTCGTCCGTGCCTTCCATCTGAGGGCAGGATCAGGCAGTGGGGTTCTGCCTCTCCTTGAGATGCAGGCCTTGGCTGGAGGAGGCTGAGACCACATGGTGGTGGCATGGGGTGGTATCCAGGGTGAGGGACATGGGTCCCAGGGGAGTCTGGGTAAGGCCTGGCAGCTTGGAGCATGACAGGGGGCTGGAACCCAGAGCCTGGAGGCTCTAACATCTGGCCAGGAAGGGTGGAGCCAGCTGGTGAGGAAATAGAGGAGTTTTGTCTTGGGGAGAATGGCATGTGGGAGAGGGGAAAGTAGAAGTTAGCTGTCCATGGAGAGGATTACCTTAACTATCACGATGATTTCATGTGTCTATTTACTTATTTGCTAATGAATATGGTTTCGACTGACTTGCATTTTCTGTTAGCCAGAGTCCTAAACAAGCTGTTGTTTCTGTACTCGGCATTCAGTCTAGAGAGTGATTCCCTTTTAGTCCCTTCATATGAATCACTTACAGTTTAGAAAACAGAGTCTGAAACTGACTTGTCAGTGGTTAATCAGTTGGCCCTATGACTTTTAAGCATTCTTGGCAGTGAATTTACTTTCTAATTTGATTTAAACTTGTGCATGGATCCAGCAGCCATATGTGATTATATTCAAGATCATCGACATTATCTCATTACACCAAAGGACTCATAGGAGAGAGCTGAAAACAAGCTTGGGAAGCAGTGACGCAGATGAAGATGCAGGGAGGAGAGGCCTGTTGTGACCAGAAGCAAAGGGAGGGGAGGCCTTAGAAATGCAGCAGCCGAATGGGGGCAGGTAGGCTCTGCCAGCTGAGGAGGGAGCCTCTGGTCGGTGGAGGGCACTGAGTGGGGACTGGGAGGTGGTCACCCAGTTTGCTGTGGGCCTTCCCCAGCTGCTTTAGGAGCTTCTACGGAGTTAGCTACCTGTAGGACAGATGGTGCTTGAATAGAACAGCAAATACACTGAATAAAATAAATTAAAAAGCCTCCTCCGGAACCAAGATTTTTTGGAAAGAATTCTAAATAGATGAAAACAAACAATTTGATTTCAACCAAATTGTTGTTTTTTTGTTTTTATCCTGATTTTCACCCGAATTGTCAGTCTCAAAAATAAACACTGATACATTCCCAGAAAATATTTTTCAAATAAAAACTGACTCTGTTAAAGTTTGCCCTGATTCTTTCAAAACTGTGTACAAGACACTGTCAACCAAAGTGACTTGCATATTTTTTTAAATAAACTTGAACATATGCAGCTAAAATGTCATTAACTCCCTGCTGCCTGAGTGTTTTCAAGGAATGACATAAGACCCCGAGTGCTGCGTTTCTAACAGAAGCATCTCACGACCCGCAGAGAAACTTCCCCAAGCACCTCCAGTAGCATGCCGTTTAACTTGGTTTTGTAGCTGAGCTCTCTGCGCACAATTAATATTGCAAAGCACACAGAGCTTCGTTTAAGCCAGATTTGCTCCTCTGTGAACCGTTCGATCTGTCCAAACGTGAATACTTTCAGACTTAGAGTCATGGAAGAAAAATAAATTGAATTTTCTATTGCTTCAATACATTTGCTCTACTTATTGCTTCCTGAGTCAGACATTACATTTTGCAATATAAATTCACAATCAAGATTTTAAAGGGAGCTAAATATTTTAATCCAATTAGACAAGTGAACAAAACACTGAATATTACATGTAGTGTAGATAAGTGGTTCTTGCCTTTAAAAGACTGTAATTCCGTCACATTACAACCCCAAATGTCAATGTTGTCTTTATTTTTAACGCTTTCAAACATGAGGCAGCCAGAGGCTCCACTCTCTGCTGTTGGTGACACTGTCTGTCCTTTGGAAATTCTTAAAATCTATTTACCATGGAAACATGGTTCATATAAAACACAGACCTGCCCATGTGCAGAGAAGTTTTCTCGTGACTTAGAGGACTCAAGAAGGCTGGAAGATTACAAACCCGCTCCCCACATGTTGCGGCAGGAACACTGTGTTTTGAGATGCTGTAGGAGGAGAGACCCGCACACACCAGACCCTCCACCCCAGCACTGCCTATGGGGGCCCAGGAGCCCCAGGCCACCCAAGGCGGTACTTTCCAGGAAGCCCTGAGTCTGCTGCGTTGCCTTGGGTCCTGTTTCCCGCTGCTTTCTGTGGGTCTGTTCCTGTCTTGGAGCCCTGGGGCAGCAAAGTTAGGCCCCGTGCACAAGCGGCCCAGGGCTTTGAGCTCTGCTGTAGGACTGGCATGGTCAGAGGCCCAGCAGGCAGCTGTGAGAGAAGAATGGCTGCGGTGACTCTGCTGTGTGCTCCTACCCTACGTGGCTGCTGCCAACAGCTGACTCTCAGAGGCTGGTGCCCTCTGCGCTGGGAGGGCCAGGGCTGCTGTGGGGCTCTGCAGATGAGCACTGCCTTGCACCAGGTGGGCATCCTGCTCCAAGGCCACCCCTCTCCTCCAGTTCAAGTGGCGGCTTGTTCCAAATCTGACTTATTTCCACAAAAGACAAACCAGCCACTCAGGTGCCCTTCCACAAATCTGGCAAGAACAGGCAGGAGAGCCACACGTGAGAAAGGCCAGATTTTGAGGTCAGATTGCCTGGGTTCAAATCCAGCTCTGTGCCACTTCAGATATATTTTTTAGTTACTATTATCACTTGATTTCTGGCTTAAACAAAAAAACACAGAACTAGCTTCCCTTTAAACAGGAGCTCTCAAATTCCACAGAGCCCAGCATAGATGGTTATGAAATCAACAGGATCAGTGCTGATATCATTGTAGACTTGAAAAGGCCATTTGAGACAATTTAATGTCTATTTTGTACAGATAGGAAAATAAGGCTTAGAGAAAGGAAGAATGAAGTGAATAGAATTGGGAACTGAATGGGCTGGAGCACAGGCTGGGGGGGACTGGGACAGGGGTCCTCAGGGGTGAGGGAGGAGTGGCTGGACCCCAGCTCCCAGAACACAGGGAGAGGCAGCTCCAAGAGGAGGGTGGCTGCCGGAGCTCTGTCAACTCCGGGCAAGCTCTGAAATGCCCCAGATGGAGGCAGGGAGGATCTGTCCTCTTGAGTTGTAAATAGATGCTTTATTGCCAGAGTCACAAGGAATAGAACCATTTGTTGACCCGGCCACACAGTGCACATGGGCAAGGTAGGGAGTGGAGAGGAAGGGGGTGCTACTTTTAGAAAGATGGCTGAGATCCTGGGGTGGAGACACATGAAAAGACAAACAGATGGGAGCCCAGGGCAGACCAGAGGCCTGGAGCACAGAGGTCTCCCATGAGCAGAAAGGCAAGGTGGTGCCACCCTCTCCTGAGTTTCTGGCTGGCTTAGGAACAAAGCAGCAGAAAGGGTGGCTGGACCCCACAGCCTGGTGGCTTGGGGAACAATCCAGGTCACCCAGAGCAACTCACTTTTAATCCTCAAAATTTAAAGTCAAACTTCAGAGGTAAGTTAGGCACAAAAGTCAAGGTTTGCGAAGAAAAGGGTCTGTGAGGATTTAAAATGAGAACAAAAATGGGTTAACAATAGTTGGGCTTGTAGGTGGGAGCACTTCTCTCTGTGGACAGGGTAGCGGTGGCACAGCAGCCACCTTGTTGTCCCTCTTCTGATCTGGAGGGTGGCCAGATGTAACTGCAGATGTGGTCCCACCACCCAGGAACGCCACACCCCACTGGCGTATGCACGCTTACCTCTTCTGACAGCGAAACTATAGCCACTGTGGTGTGGACCATGGGAAGGACTTTCTGGAGAGAAGCATCACTGATAATCCCTGTGAAGTGATGGCAGATAAGCCTGCTCTGGGCAGTAGCTGAACTTCTGTGTCCCTGGATGTGCTCTAGGATAGAGAGGGGGAAGCACTAGGAAGGGTGTGTCACTGAAGAGTCAGCAACACAGCAGTGATGTCACAGGGTGAATTAGTCACTCCAGCAAAGACCTCCTGAATGCTTATCCTGGGTGGGGTGCAGTTGTAGGCACTGGGGACAGCAGCAGTGAGTACTAGAAAGTCAGGGTGAATGTGGAACTTCTCACCTGCCCCAGATAAACTATAAAACCAGCTGGACAGGGACAGCCCACATGCCTCAGGGAGGGAAATTCAGGTTGTTGACTTCCATTCCTGCTGAGGACCTCACATCTGTCACCTCGGTGTGGGCCCACGGGAGTAGGTGGTCGCCGGTTTCAGCAGGGCAGTCTGAGTGCCAGCAGGGAATGGCTCGAATGATTAATTACTAGACGGCCTTGGAGCCCACAGGCACTACAGAACCTCATTATGAGACATATCAGTTTCCTGGAGCTTGGCTTAAAAAATAGTCGACACATTTCCACTTCAGGTCTCCTTACCACTATTTTGTATTGTGTATGGATGGGTGTGTTTTTATCCAAAGTGCAGTTAAATTTTTCTTTTGAAACATGCCTGTTAAAGTTTTGCTTATTTTTGCATTCAAAATCACCTTAGAATTGCTGAGCTTAGGATGCTAGCCACTGTCTCAGAGAGTGCAGGCCCTCAGGCTGCTGGCCTGAGAGGGCCAGCACATGGAGCAGGGAAGGAGGGTCATTCAAACCAGTCACTTGGCACAACTGTGCCGGGCAGGTCAGTTAGGACTGGAAGGCAGGTCAGATCCTGGTGGCAACTGGTGTTTGACAGTCACATTGAGTTGGTGGCAGCCTCCGGACTGGGGGTATTCCACTGAGGACAGAAGGAAGCCCCTGCTGCCAGGGTAGGGCTCCAGGGGTGCAAGTGGACTCCCCGGCCACCCACCTGCATTCAGTGTGCGTCCGGGCTGTGCACATGGCCCTGCCAGAACCACTCTACTCCCAGAACATTACAGGGTCATCAGTGTCTTGCACACTGGGAAATCTACTTGAAATGCAAATGTTACCTTTTCTTGCTTTTAAAAAAAGGCAACAGGTTAACTTTGATGTATTTTTTCTTTTTCTCTTGTATGAATTCTGGTTTCACTCATTGTCCGGTCTTGGAAATCCCTAGCAAGTGATACGGCTTAAATTGGGTCGACAGAAGCTCCCTTGGAGCAGCACCAGGTTCTGATTTATCTGTTGAAGTGAAAACTGGGCGTTTACACTCCCAGAGGGCAAGAACTGTCCCTGGAGCACATCCTAGTGCTCAAGGCTTTTCTGTGGAATGACATTACTAACATTACTTCCCTAACTTGGAGTTCTCCCCTCAACTTCTGACAACTAAGAAGGAGATCACTGCACCCCTTCGGCATGTGAGAGGTTTCCACGGAAAATGCCTTTACTTGTGTTACAATCAATTGCAGCTAAAGTTTGGAGGTTTCTGCTTGCATTGTTTCACCAGGAATTTCTTAGGGGCACTTGGCCTAATACCATTTTTGTTCTAGATTTTTCTACCATAAGGTTATTTGAGTTTTCTGTAAGGAGCTTCTGGTACAAATCTCCTTTTCCTGGACAGGGGAGAGAGAGGTGGCTCTCCAGTCGGGTCCTAACATCAGTCTTGAGGATCAGACTATCCTCATTTCTGAGGGCACACAAATGTCTGAATATGGGTTGCTTTCAAATTTAAAACATTCAAACAAACAGCCTTATATTCCCTGTGACAAGGGCTTTGATGTCTGGTCAGGGTGAGCGAAGCTTCTCCTAGAATGGGTTACATGTAATTTCTACACCTGTGGCAAAAGAAACTTGTTTTCAAAAATTTAGCCATAAAAGGTAACTTAAGGAGCAAATGAGAAGAAAAATCACGTTGAAGAACATGATCTATTTAAACTTACTTTTTTATTATCATTTTTTCCAGTTACCCAGCATGCCACAATCTGATTGCTGACCTGGATGGAACAGAGTGAAATAAACGATTTACAAAGATATTTACATTCATCTGGATTATACTTGATATGCCACAATGCACCGCGACCTTCCCCAGGTGACACCGCCTCAGACTGCTGTGGGGCTCATCCTCATCTCCATATCTGTGTCCCGGTCCCAAGGACAGGCTGGAGCTGAAGTCTAATGCTAGATGAGGAGAGCTCCTGGTATAATGTTTGCAGAAATGGCTTGAAGTTATGTTTCTAAATCTGCTCATTTGTATGGTAGGTGGTACATATGAATTCCAATAAATGAAGTTTTTAAAGACTTGAGATTAATGTTTCCTTTTTACCTTGTAGTGATGAACAGAACACACTGAAAAGGCACATATTTTAACTAGGCCAAAGTGTATTAGGACGACGTTTTCCTGCCAGTCATTTTTCCTTTCTCTTTTCATGAGCTATGGAGCATCCTGCAGCTTGATCTGCCTTTAATCAACACCCTGGAAGACTCCATTGTTATTTAGCATCCTACCAATTTGTGCACCATCAGGAGACACCAGGAAGCACTATGCACTATTCTTTCCATTCTGTTAACAACAAAAACAGACAAAAAAGCATCTTTGGCTTAGTGGTGTCAGATTTTTTCTTCATTATGCAGTATTTGAGAGGAGCCTAAAAACATACTTAGTGAAATTAGAAAATTTACTTAAGAGTATATCAAATATCTGTACACAGATCATTATTTTAGTCTAAAATAGTATTTCTACTATACACAGTTAAGCCCTCAAATGCTTAAAGTAATAAAAATGGACACTGATAGTTTCGTGTCGTGTTGGAGGATGACAATGAACACTAAAGGCAAGGCTGCTGTTGGGGTGAGTCCCTGACCTCAGGCGAGTCCCCTGGCCAGGGATCCATCATCATCATCTCAGCACACAGAGGATGTTACCACGGGTTCAGCCTGCCACTCAGCGTCGATGTGGATTAGGCTTTGGAGGCGGTGACATGATACACAAGAGACCATTCCAGCCTCTTGAGCATGTGAGCATGTAAAAGGTTCAAGCCTTAAATAGAACTTCTACTCAGATTCAGAAGTTTTTGATTTCATCAAATGTGCTAGACATAAAGGCTGTCACATACGATTTTAATTGTCCTGTTTTAGGTATACTGCGAATAAGTTATACAGTATTCTAAAAATAGCACCGTTAAAGAATTATAGAGGTCACTTTATTTCAGCCTCCTGGATCTGTCAAGCCCAGTGGTTTTGAGAGAAGAGCATGTGTAAGAATGCCCTCATATCTAGCTGTGTGACACACAGGTACACACTGGACTAACTCTAGTCCCAAAAGCCATTCCTCTATCTGGCTTAGTCACAGGAGCAAAACCAAGTCTCTACAATAGTAGCTTTATGAGGTAAAATCTGAAGAAGGCCCATCCAGAATGATTCCACATCAGTCAGACTGCAGTCGAGCCATCCCACTATTCCCCCATCTACGTTTACCCTGCCAGGAAGTGTTAAAGACATACTCCAGGAGAAGGAAGCATCCAGAGCACTGCGTGGCCAGGAAGACCCTGAAGACCAGCTACGCTCACTCAGAACTGTGGTCCAAGCCCTCTGCTGTAAAGATCGTTAGGTCTGAATGATCCTCCAGGTCTGAGACCTACTCCGTCCCTGGCTTCACAGTAGATCTGTCCTAACCCAGTGCTGAGAGGTCAGCGCCCCCCCTTTGGAAGGAGCCCTTCATCAGAGTTTGTAGAACTGCACTATTGCCATAAAAATAATCCTGCGTGTGTTTTGAGCTATAAGGAGTTTACATATTTTCCTCTCACATTTTATACAGGATAGATTAATGCCATGTGGGGCTATTAAAAATTTTTTTCAGAAAAGAGTATTTAATTTTCTGAGATTACAGAACCACATCCAACAACAACAAACAGAGAAGTAGCAGATTGACATAGTGCTTTATTTAAGCTTCTGTACGAAGGAAAATAATGTGCATCCCTATCATATACGTGTAAAAATACTAAGGATGTACAGTGTACAAAACAGTTTCTTGTAGTTATTTCACATCCTTGTGGGTCATTTACTTAAGGAAATAAAACAGTTTTAGTATGACCAACAGTAATAGTAATACAGTTTCTTGGGTTCATATTTGCATCTGCTTAAAGTCCTTAACCAGATGACTAGATCTTGCATGGATCTAATGAAAGAACTAGCAAGGTCGAGAAATGTCACAGACTATAAAGCTACAGGGAGGTAATTCAATTACCACTTTAGAGGTTTTCTTTTTATTTAAATAAATACTTTACATTTCATGCTTGCCTGTAATGCACTACCAGGAGCAAGATAAGGAAATTCTACTGTAGACAGTACAAACAGTAGCAGCAAAGTGTGTACATTGAGGTGTAATATAGAGACCCTGCAGTTAGTAAGGAAGGCCCTTACTTTGTACTCTAGGAGAAGCAAGTGGCCCCTGCAAGAACAGTCAGCTTTAAGAAGCTGGAAATCAGGTGTGGGAATGGAAAACAATACTGGAATAATGCTGTGTGGTTAGTGGAGAAAGCAAAGCTGAGAGCGACCCTGCCAACAACCCAAGCAGAAAAGGCCAGTTTCTTCCAAGATGGCTGCAACAGGACAAGAGTTCAACCTTAGTGACAAAACCCGCTGGAGTCCGCAGGCCTGAACTGCACTCTCACAGAACGATTCCAGCTTTCAGCCTGTTCCACCCGCCAGAACCCCAAACTGCAGCTACGGGCAACACAAGAAGTTTCCACAATCGCCCTCTCTGCACACTCCTGTTGTTCCATTGTCCTCCCTGTCAACTGACAGATCTGGGAGTGAAAGTAAAGGATGCTCAAATCGAAGCCAAAGAAACACCTTGTGTGTTCCCAACTGTGTCCCAGAGGGGAGAAGCGACTGAGCCCAGGGCATGGCTGGGGGCTGAGCGCCAGCTGTGAGGAATGGCCAGCCTGGGGCACTGTCAGTGCTGGTCATTAATCTTTAGGAAGTGTCCTTGGCCAAGGTCATGGAAATCACCTTATGATTTGGGGGAAACAAAACAAAACAACAAAAAGCTACATGCTTAGTGTCCGGCATCACGCTCTCCCTCTAAGGAAGTAAGTGCTCTGAACATCAGCCAGTCTCAGCGCTCTTCTGCCTCTCACCTGATTCTTAGATAATGGATGCAAGACAACTTAAAAGACATACCTCCTAGTCTACTTTCTTGTCAAAGTGAAACATCCAACATAATTCCAAGTGGAAAAAAAAAAAGGTAAGCTATGTGTGTAAGTCAGAATGAACTAGCATTTAACTGTAACTTCCTATTCAGTACTAAGGATGAACTTCACTCAGGTAGAAATATGAAAATTAGGATAAAATCTATGTCTAAATATGTCTTAGCTGCCTAGTAAAATGCCCTTTGACCCCCATCAGTCCCAGTGGCCCACCCACCGCCAGCAGTGGTTTCATAGCTATAAATCCACACTTCCAGCGTCAAGAGGCTAAGACATCTGCATATGAATGTGATTCATCCTACTGAGAAAGTCACTTGCTCTTCATACGATGCAATCCTAACACTACCCCATGCTGTAGTCTTCCATTTGGGAGCTGTCAGATAGTTTAACTAAAATACATTTCCATGATCACTCCATGGAGTGGGAAGGCCGTCTGCTTGCTGCAAGAACGGCCCCCAGCCCCTTGGATTTCATAGACTGCTTTGGAAAATGTCAGCTCCTAGCACCAAAGGGTTAATCTGAAGATCATCATTAATGAAGGAGAAAAGATGAGGTTTGCATACACGTCCCCTTTCAGTGAGAATGTTGGAATTTGGGGACATGAATATATACAGAAAAAAGCAAAGCTGGAGGTGTTCTCTTTTTGTTTTATCCCTGATGGCTTAATTCAGTGGTAAGTGTACCATGATCACAATAAACTCACCAGGTGCTTAACCTTCACTGCCTACTTCCCAAATACTCCAGATGTGTTCATCTTGCCAAGTAAAGTTCATTTCTTTTCATCATTCAGGTTTCATTGTCTTCTTTACATTATGTTGCCAGGCTGTCACGTTTTAATTCTCAAATGAGCAAACATTAACGTCAATTTGTTTCATTAACCCCTTGGCACAGACAGTCGGGGATTTTCTCATTTTTAGCACCAAGGGGTTGAGTGATAGCATCTCTTCTCCCAAAGCCAAATTCTAACCAATATATACCATTTCAGAGCCTCATCGATTTTTTTTTTTTACATAGGAGAAAAAGTGCATGATTCTCATCAGTGTGTACATTCCTTGCACATGGGTCACAAGAAACTGCAGTAAGTCTACGTATGTAAGTTGGAGCTGCATTTGCTAACATGACATACAATTCTCATCACTAAAAAATAAATACTACTGCAATATAAACAAAACCATAAAGGACATTCAAAGTTTTAACATCTGAGTTTTAAAAGCTAATTCACGTAAAACTGAAAGAAAGAAAACAAATAAGGCAAACACCTGTTTACCTTGGTGTACAAATTTTGGTGAAAAGCAGGATCATTATACCTGTCTACATTCTTCAGCCATCAGAGGTGATAAATATCAAGAAGGAAAAAGGTTTCCAAGCACAGGGGAAAAAATGCTCTCTGGCGCAAATTGTATAGTAAGACGCGTTAAGTGACTTTGACTGTGCATCTGCCTTCATTTCTGGGTTGAACAATGTTCATTTGCCCACGAACGCCCGTGAAGTCTTGACGTCCATGGATGATATCGGGCTTCCTCTGCAGTATCCACCATGAATTAAAAATATAGAGAGATATATCTCTATAGTTGTTCAGTCCTTCTCTCAAATGCTTCTTAATAAATTCCAGCCAAATCTTAGTGCTACACGCCTACTTTATGCTTTGATCTGATATGATTTACTAAAGCTTTGTATATGCACATCACCACCCTTCCACAATTGCTTATTCTGAACTATAAGCTAAATCTTCTTAGTCTAATTAGTTTTGATTTATCTTCTAGAAAGTTAAAAAATGTACCTAGAATCAGTGTATCTCATTTAGCCTTCACTGTTAGGGAAAAACAGAAACTAAGAGATCAAATGATGCCTATTGGTGCACAAATGAACAATGGTGGGCTCATGACCTCCAAAGATTGTAAAATTACTTCTTAAAGTTGCTATAATAGTAAGACAGTAGCAGCAACAGCATGAGACCTTAGACTGAGATACAGTTTCATGCAAAACCAAAAAACTGGAGTGTGTTTGCGTCTATGTGTGTTTTCATGTGGGTGAAAGGTGGTGAGGGGGGAAGACCCTTGGCTGGTCTGGGATGTCGGAAGGTGCCCCTGCT